AGAAATATTAGAGCTCAGTGTGTATTTATATTGACTGGTTGTCAGTGATGCTTTCTTTCTAACAGTGTGGAGTTTTTAGACAGAAAGTTGCAGCACACTCTCTGGATATGCAGGGTCAGTTACTACTTTATAAGTGTATTAATGACCTTAGGCACTGACCTTAATATCCACTGTCAGGAAAGCTGGACATAGAAGGAAGACACAGATGGGGGAAAGGTGAATGGAAAAGTGGGATGAGGAAGTTGGACCCGGCGTTAGGGAAAGAGGAGAAGAAAGGAAAGGGAGATAGAGGATGGAAGAATGTGGACCTGGGCCGAGAGAAGGAGGACAAAGGACAGGGAAAGGAGAATGGGGAAAACTAATGGGAACATCAGGGATAGGGACAGGGGGACAGGAAAGGTGGACAGAGAAGTGAGACAGGAATGTGGGAAAATAAATGAGAAAGTTGGAGATGGGAGGACGGGTATAGGGAAAGGTGGACCCGGGATGAGGGAAGAAGGACAGAGAACAGGGGAGGGAGATGGAGATGTCGGAAGAGGAAAAGTGAGTGAGAAGGGAAACTGGGGGCGAGAATGAAGGAGGAAGGAACCTGGATGAGAAAAGAGGACAGAGAATGGGAAAAATACAGTATGATCAGCCAGTTCTCAGTCCCGAGGCGTTCCTTAGGTACGCGAAAGGTGACATCCGGCGTTCCTATCCTGGGTTCTGGCTGAGACCTAACCCTAACCTTATCCTGAACTAAAACCTTATCCCTAGCCATAAGCACCACTTTAATGACATTCGAAAGTGTTTTCTAAAGCGCTTTGAGGAAAATAAATATACATGTGTAGATAAATGTTTTCATGTCTATCGGCATCCTGGAGAGGCTGTCTGCATCCACATTTTCCTTACCGGGCCGATATTTAATTGTTAAGTGGAAATCTGCCAGTTCTGCTACCTATCGACACCCTGATGCATTCCGTTTGGCAGTGGACAGTACATAGGTAAGTGGCTTATTCTACATGGTGAAGAATGGTGCATAATATAGGTAATCAGGGAATTTTTCTGTGATTGCCCACTTGAGAGAAAGAAAATCTAACACTAGCACCCCCAGGCTTCTACCTTGTCCGTGTCATGAATGAATATAGTAAATCTTCTCAGCTGCTGTTAAAGTGTGGAAACATAAGTAATCACATGAAGCTTTCCATTCTGCTTTTGGTACAACATGGCACCTGATCCCTGGTTTGACGCATCAGTTTGAAGAGTGAATGGCTGGTGCAGCCACAACAACCTGGTGCTGAATGCCCAGAAGACAGTGGAGATTATTGTGGACTTCAGGAAGCACACAGCCCCACTCCCCCCCCATCATCCTGTCTGACACCCCCATCACCTCTGTGGACTCATTCCGCTTCCTGGGTACCACCATCACCCAGGACCTGAAGTGGGAGCCCACCATCACCTCCGTCATTAAGAAAGCCCAGCAGAGGATGTACTTCCTGAGGCAGCTGAAGAAATTCAACCTGCGAACACGGACGATGATGCAATTCTACACTGCAATCATCGAGTCCATCCTCACCTCCTCCATCACCGTGTGGTACGCTGGAGCCACTATCAGGGACAAACAGAGACTGCAGCGTGTTGTGCGCTCTGCTGAGAAGGTGATTGGCTACAGACTCCCATCTCTGCAGGACCTGTACACCTCCAGGACACTGGGGCGTGCAGCCCGGATCTCAGCTGACCCTTCTCACCCTGGACACAGTCTGTTTGACCTGCTCCCCTCAGGCAGGAGGCTCCGGTCCATTCGCACCAGAACCTCTCGCCATAAGAATAGTTTCTTCCCCTCTGCTGTTGGACACATGAACAATAACCATATGACTGTTCCCACCACTAACACATGACCCTACGCTGTGTTCACTGCATCATTCCATGTTTGGCACTGATCACCACCTGTACTCATGTATATATCATGTATATATCTATCTACTTAGCACTTTTAATTCTTATTCTTATTTTTATGTCTATTTAAGCATTATATGACAGTATGTTTGCACTAAGTACCACAGCAATTTCCTAATGTTGTAAACCTGCTCAACATTTCTGATTCTGATTCTGACTCTGTGAAAACTCTCGGAAGCCTAGAACAGGGGGCTGAGCTAGACAGTTGTTGAGATTTGAAATATATATTTTAAATGCGTATTTGTTGATTATATTGTTTTATGTATATAAGAAGGCCAGCTTTGAGACTAGACTCTGTTTTTGCAGACTATGAGCTCCAGACAGAGTTAAACTAAGTTCAGACAGAAGGGTGACGGGTTCCCCTGGCAAAAGACTTTAGAAAGAGGAAGTTATTGCAAGCTGCACAGGAAGTGAGACACGAAGAAAAAAGGAACTGAGTAGAAGGAATTCGTTTATAATGTGATGTGTGTGACGTCTGAAGTACAGAAATAACATCATATAAGGCACATGTTGAGTGTCAAATGTTAGAGATCCTGCAACTGCCTTTGGGGTGTGCAGGGCTCTCTCTTCCGGAAAATGATTGAATAAAAAGAATATATAAATATTTTGACCACTCTGAGTCAGGTTTTCTCTGTTCTATTATGGGGATTAACCCTTTAAAGCCTGTGTGATTTCCAAAGGATCAGGCTTGTGGCAACTTCTGCCTGGAAGTTTCATTGTTTCAGTGGCTTTTGGACACCAAGTAGCTTGCAGTCACGACGGTAAATCAACCATGTGTTGACAACACCGAGCATGATGGTTTGCCAGAACAGGTAGAGATACCACCTCCGTGACTTCATGTGGTACTTGTACCTTGCAATGCAGGCATCAAGCGGGTCTATACCACCCATGAATGTATTGTACTCCTTCACAATGTGTGGCCTTTTGACCTTGAGGCTCAGTTGCACAATAGGATGAGATGAGGGTAACAGAATTGTTGTCATACCACTTCACAATAACCATGCTCTCCTCCTTATTCACCCTGGCATCAACAGATAGAGGATCTCTGGGCAAGACATTTTTCATCTTCAAGCTGACAACCTGCTAAGCGATTTCCACGAAGTGTTCCTACAAAGTAGATCTGTCGCTGAAGAAGTGTGAGCACAAGTGGGGCTGAGGAGAAGAAGTTATCAGCAAAAACTTTGTAGTTTTGCTCAGCTGGCAGAGTTTCACACAACTTCACCACAACATCTCCTCCAATCCCAAGTAAAGTCTTCTTCCCAGTTGATAAACAACAAAATCATGGAGCATACCAGAGGATGAGCACCGGGCCCAGATTTTCAATCCCCAGGGGTGGGGCTTTCCCTTCACATACTGCCTTATTGGGCTGTGTGTCCCCTTGAAGGGTACCATTTTCTCATTAACAGAGTGAATCACTGGATTCACTTGATTCATCAAACTCCACGTCTTTGTGGGGATGTAATTAGGGTCTTCAGAATCTTCATCTGAGCTACTTTCACATCCCTCATACTCACTGTCCTTTGCAGTGATAAACTCCAGCGCATCTTGAACACTATATTTTTTCTTTTTATCCATTCTACAAAAGAGTGAAAATGAAAAAAAATGGGGGTAACTGAAAAACGCCTCGACAAAGCTAAAGTAAAGTTCCATCACAAATTTAGGTAATTTAATAAATTAGTTATGCTTGAATTTAGTTAAATATGACTGAGAATTAACAACAAAGAATACATTTACTTAAAATAACTGAATGAGCTAAACTGACTAAGCAAATGATCAGTTTTTGTCTTTTTGTGACAAATATGTCACATCAGTTTTTTTAAAGAAAATTTGGAGTTTAATGCCCGATGTGACATATTTGTCACAGCGATATTTAACAAACTAATTCTAGATCAAATTGTTTCAGAAATATTAACAAACTAGGTTACAAGTGACCTATGACATCTTATCTAAAGTTTAGAATTGCTGAATGAGTAAAAGCTTACCTTTGCAAAAAGAAAAGAAAGTTTGTGCAGTAGACATCACTTAGGGCTTTATTAGTTAAAAGTCAAAGATAAACCATTATAAATAGTTTTTCTCTAAGTGTAAAGGGGCGGTGACATCAGTGTCACTGTGGGTCCTTAAGGGTTAATCCAGCTGAGTCACTCCTGTTTGGGTTTTTTATGAAATTTTCCTTTTCTTCATTTCTTGATTTCTTGTAAATTTGAGCCATGAGCTGGATTTAAGTAGAAAATGATTCCAGAAATAGTTTCACAACAGCAGAAATAGAATCTATTTTACTTTTGTTTGTTGAACACATCCACTGTCACACTGACAAACAGCGGAGGAGGTAAAACTGAACTTTAAACTACAACCTTCCTCCATTTTATTTTCTGCTTACAGTCACAGGCTCAAAGAGAGCTGTGCAGGTTTAATTTAATTTACTGTCTATAGATACAGAAAGTCAGTTTTCACATTTAATCTCAGTAGTTTTTGAACATATTGATATGTGATCTGCAGGCAGAAATTTTTTGAACTGGCATAAAGTCTGGTTTATGGTCATTTTTATTTCAAATATAAAGAAACATGTCAGAAATGTTTGCTTGGTATTAAAATTCTAATAACTAAACATCAGCTGAGAGATAAAACTGATGGACCTTTTTAAGTATTTGTTTATTGTTATTTTGTTTTTGTTACAGAAAGTCAATTTCCTACATTTGAGACATACCACTGTGTATTTTATAGGTAAAAACTCATATCAAGAATTATTATATGACTGCTCCATATGATTACAATGCTCAGGTGTATACATAATATATACACACATAGTAACACTAGTTCTTGTGTTACTATATTAATCAAGTGTATTCGCATATTGTTTTTTTGTTTTTTGTTTTTGTATTTATATCCATGTCAGTAACTGTAATCCTGAAATAGTGCTGACATCATTTTTAGTCAGATACCCAAGAGTAAAAAAAGAACACATTAGACTTCTAGATATATATATATATATA